AAATTAGTGAAAAAGTAATGTTTTAGTTGATGTTGTGTAAGAAATATTCAGGAAAAAAATGAGAAAAGTTCACAAATGTTAAACCAACACTACTGCACTCTAATTACCAGCACATCAGTGACTACAATTCCTTAGCATCAAGAAATCATAGTGCTAGAGCCTTAGAAAAAAATAAGAAATATTTTAGTGCTTCAATGGAGCAAAGTTCAACATCCCAGTGTCAGAAATCAGTTTTATAACACTCGAGTCTTTATAATTTGACAGAATGCTAAGTATTATAATGTCGCATTGCCAAATTCCACATTTAAGCACCGTTGTGCGTAACTTTTGCAATGTCAAGATGGAGAAATTTATGAAAGATGGAGCTACATCAAATCAGCCAAGCGATGCACCAGTTTAGCCAATAGACATGCCAAGTCAGTATAACACATAGCAGAGTAAGCCCAGTAGCACCAAGGCGCTAGTTCACCTAATAATATTATAGCGCAATTATGTCAAGTGCCATGGTACTTAAACCCATTTTTGTACTTGGTATAAATAGTTTAATTTTGATGTTTATGATGGTTATGCCATTAACAATATGAAGTTATACTTTTCTATGGTGCCCCCTTAAAGTTATGTCTAGGGGAGGCTTCGAAAGAGTAAGATATCTTTTTCAAAGACCTTAACCTCTCTTGTGGTGAGCAATCATACATTTGGAAGTGAAAAAAGTGTGGAGAGTACAGTGCGTCAAAAATGGATCGAAAATGAATTTTTTGTGATTTTTTGAAGTTTTCTGTATTTTAAAAATATTTAAAATAATATTTTTATTATATATATATGGCGGCGGCCAATCCCGAGCTGACACGTGGCGGGGCGGTCAAAACCACAGGGCGGCGGCGATCAGGACACGCGGCGACCTCCTGTTGGCTTCCGTAACTATGGAGGCGGCAGTCAGCCACGTGGCTGACTTAACCACGTCAGCGGCAATCTCGGACCGTTGATTCTGTGCGGTTCGGAATCAACGGTCCTGATTGAGTCGGACGGACGCGGATCAAGCGGGAATCGATACACAGGAGGATAAGGACGCAAAACAGACAGATCTTGATCGTTGATCACGCGATCAACTGTCCCGGTCGGGCAGACGGTGAACCCGAACCCTAATCCCATTTTTTGCTTCGTTCTCACTCGATTGTCAACCAAATTTTGTGAAATTTTATACCTAGGATCTAGACATGTACAGAAATCATGGGGGCCATAGTGTTTGGCTTAAAATTAGCTTTTTGAAAAGCTATTTAGATCGACGTGTAGTGAACTATACTAAGGGATTTCGCGAGATTTTACCGTTCGATCTTCAAAGTCTTGATACAGTTGAGCTTGTAGACTGTCCTCTTATGTTTCCTCTCTTGATCCTCAGTCAAACGAGCTCCGGATCGAGTAGATCAAAGCCTTGGATGTTTAGACCTTCGGGTCGCCAGAGGATTGCAGGCGTCGACTTGGGATCGTCGGGATCTACTTGGAAAGTGTAGAGGAGGATTCTCTCAAGCTCTCCACGAAAAATCTCGGGCTTAGGGGGAATAGAATGCAAGATCCTCTAATTGGAACCCTAAAATCAATATTTAAAGGCTTAGACCTAATACAAACGACCATGATTCGATCCAAGCACGATTAGGAGGGAAAATAGGTTGAAACCCACAGGATTTTGAATTTGAGCCATTAAGAAGGCATTAATTCCATTGAATGGGGTCTTAATGGGCTCTAAATAGGTTATTTTAACCTATTTAAGACTTGGTTTGACTAAGTCAACGATTGACTTGGTCAAATCAGTCAAGGGAGTCAAAGGAGTCAATGGATTGAGCCTTGAAGACATGGTATTGGTTTGAAATCACTTAAAAAAGCATTTGGGTCGATTTGGGTCAACCAGGGTTGACCTGGTCAACCAGGTTGTCCCAGGACCTGGGTCTGGCCTCAACATACTCGGTTCGACTCACTGAACCCATTGGAGAGGGTCTTGGGGTTTGACTTGGTCAATTTGACCAAGTCAACCTCTTACGGGGGTCTGGAAAAAATCGAGGTCAACAAATGGAGCTGCATAAAATCAGCCAATCGATGCACCAGTTTAAACAATAGACATGCCAAGTCAGTATAGCACGTAGTAGAGTAAGCCCAGTAGCACCAAGGCGCTAGTTCACAGTAGCACCAAGGCGCTAGTTTACCTAATAATATTATAGTGCAATCATGTCAAGTGCCATGGTACTTAAGCCCATTTTTGTACTTGGTATAAATAGTTTAATTTTGATGTTTATGGTGGTTATGCCATAAACAATGTGGAGTTATACTTTTCTATTGTGCCCCCTTAAAGTTATGGCTAAGGGAGGCTAGGGAAGAGTAATATATATTTTTCAAAGACCTTAACCTCTCTTGTGGTGAGCAAATACATTTGGAAGTGAAAAATGTGTGGAGAGTACATTTATACTATTTGAGTGAGATTTTACCTTACTTTCTCTGTTGTATCTTCTCTTGTATGCAAGAAATAAAGGTCTATTTGCTTTTTATCTTTATTGTGTCTGGCTAATATCTATGTTTTGGGATAATGCTGTGAACACATTGAAAGTACTAATGTAGACTCTAGTTTTATGAATGAAATTATGGATGTTTTTAATATCTCCCATTCTTAATTTAATACATAGAATGGTCACGTGTGTAGTTAATATCTAATGTGATATATAGCTCGACGGAGAAACATTGGAACAAATAGGAGTATTGAAATGGAAAGTTAGTATGGCTAGGCATAGGATGTTAAACCTTGTAGGTTCTTTGGAGACATTAGGATTATAGAAAGACCATAAACCTCCCTTTTTACCCCTATAAGCTCAACAATGATCTAATGATGCTTATGCTCTGATCCATATTAAAATTTAAGAGTCTCATTAGAAAAATTTTAATGTTTTACATACATTAGTCCAAAATATTTTTAATATATGATATCTCATTATCTTTTTTTCTTTTTCTTTGTAAGTGGTAGAATTTAAAACCTTTGATTATCAATCAATAGGATAAGTCTTGCATATGTAGTAAATAAACATAGTTTAATAGTAATCTAGCATAATACTTTCTCACGAGGCATATTTTATTTGATCGACATGTATACTTACATATCTAGCGGATAATCTATATAAAAAAACCTAAGTATTAATTGGCCCTAAGGCATATTTTATTTCATATATAGATTCAGTTAGCCACACTCAAAGTTTTTGGTGTTGTTGTCAGGAAAGTAACGTGCATATTACAATTTTAAACTATATTGTTAAACTAGTTGCATATTTAGACATACATATATCATGTATCTTTAGTTTGTAATTTTTGTTAAAATTTATGAAAAAGAAATATTATTTGTTAATTTTTGTTCTGTACTTTTTTTGTATATAGTTTCTACATGTGTAGTACATCTTGTAAGGTGTCCTTGTAGTTTGATTCTGAAATTGAAAAGTCGAAGTAAGAAGTAAACTTGACTCCATCTAAACAAAAAAGGTCTAAGAATTTAGATTTTGTTGACCCAGATCAAGCTCCCTAGAAGCTAAATTGGGATAATCCTTTGTATGTTTTTTTTAATTGAAATCTATTTCAAATGATTTAAATTGGATAAATAAATTTAATCTTTTCAATATTCTTGCATTATTTTTATATCTAATAGAATATCAATGCATGATGATGAATATAATATCAAAATTTTCTAATTCAAGAAAAACATATTCAAGGAATTTTTTTAGATCTTCTAAGATTTAAGGATTTGAAAAAGGGAAGCTACTAACATTTTTTTGCATATTTTGTACGTCTTTTTATTTTTTATGCACTCTGCGGATCTTTAACTTTTGATGTACTTTGCACATCTTTTCAAATAATTTTCGATAAAAGGCTCCCTTTTTAAAACCTTAAAATGATTGCATCAGTTGTAAGATTATCTCCCAAACATATGAGAAAAAAACTCACTTTCTTATATAAGAAAGGACAATCCACAAATCAGACCCAGACATTTGAGAAGAATATTAACTTGACTAGAAAAATTTTTTAATAGATTTATAAGCATGTCAATGCACCAATTTTTATTTTTAAGTTCAAATCAGGATGATTCAAAAGATTTTTATTTTAAGTTCAATTCAAGTTTGATATAGATTTTAATTCACAATGAAATCTACCCATACATAAGTGGTGGAAGGGTGGGAATATATTTTTATTTTTAATATTGATTGATAATAGGCCTCTACCCTCACTAAAGTTGCCCTTGCAATTTTAGTTTTGATTGAATAATGAGATATCAATGCACTAATTTTAATTTTAGAAGTTTTATTTTACTAATGACAATTCATTGGTTAATAGATTTACATATGCTTTACTTATTTATTGAATTCTTACTTTTCCTTTGCAAAAATTGCTATAATACATTCTTGATTTCTGTTAGTTTTTAGATCAATTGTTTAATTTTATTTATAGCATTGCAAATGTAATCTTATTTGTTGTTGACCTATATATTTATAAGTTATAATTTTAATTCAAGTGATTATTTAGTTCGTAAAATCAAATGAATATTAGATTTCTTTATTAGTCGTTATTATTCTTGCAAAGATATTTAGGTAAAAAGATATTTTGAATTATAACATGAAGAATGGAGCTAAAGTTTCCACTTATAAATAAAAGTTCAAAAAAAAAAAAAAAAATCTTATTTCTGTTAACTGACAATTATAAAGAACACTTTTGCCTCACAAACAATTCATTAGAATATTCATAATACGAATTTTTATTTTTTAATTTTTATTATAAGACTAAATACTTAATGCTTATAATATATCCATTTAAAATGTATTATACTATAAATGCATCCAATTAAAGGTTGAAGCTAAGTTTATCGTGCTTTGTAAGAGTTCGAGATTTTATTTTTGACAAATTTTTTATTATTTTTTAAATAATTTTTTGATAAAAAAAATATTTAGAACTAAAAATTTTTTAGCAGAAAAACTGTTTTGAAAAACTCCCTGACGAAGCCTGAAGAACAGCCGGAAGAAAATACCAAGAACTCTCGTCGCATAAAAACACTGCGCTACAGGTCCAAACCCTTTCCTCTCAACAGGCGGTCTCGACCCAACGCGCCAAAAGGAAGCAGGAGATTTCACCGGCGAGGGAGGATCGGCGCATTCATGGAGGACATAGGCGGTGGCGCAGCCGCTTCTGCCCCGGCATCCGTGGCTCCTGATCCCGATGGTCTGGATGGCGTCCGCATGACCTGGAACTCCTGGCCCCGATCCAAGGTCGAGGCAAGCAAATGCGTCATACCCGTCGCTGCCTCCATCTCCCCGATCCGCTCCTATCCCGACCTTGTCGTGCTCCCCTATTCCCCGCTTCGCTGCAAGCCTCCTTGCGCCGCCGTCCTCAACCCTTTTTGCCGTGTCGATTTCCCCTCTAAGATCTGGATCTGTCCTTTCTGCTTCTCTCGAAACCATTTTCCTCAACATTATTCGGCTATCTCGGAAACCAACGTTCCGGGCGAGCTCTACCCACAGTGCTCCACCGTCGAGTATGGCCCTGCTCCATTTGTCTCCGGCGGAGACCAGTCATCCGCGCCCCCACCGCCGCCTCCTATCTTCCTCTTCATCCTTGACACCTGCATCATTGAGGAGGAGCTAGGTTTTGTCAAGTCTGCCATGCGCCGTGCAATCGGACTTCTTCCGGAGAACGCCCTCGTCGGGCTCATTACCTACGGCACGCAGGTGCATCTCCACGAGCTTGGATTCTCGGATCTATCCAAGTTGTACGTCTTCCGGGGAACAAAGGAGATCACGAAGGAGCAGATCCTTGATCAGCTCGGGCTCTCAGTGGCGGGAAGGGCAGGGGCGCCAGGTTTCCCGAAAGGCGGCATGCCGCAGGCGAATGGATTGAACCCTAGCGCATCTGTTAATAGGTTTTTGCTGCCAGCATCGGATTGCGAATATACGCTTAATGCTGTGAGTTTTGACTTGTTTCCTGCTGTTTTTGCTGCTTGATTGGCGTAAAATTATGTTTTGATTGTCATTGGAAATTTGCATTGGTTCTTGTTCTGGTAGTTGTTGGATGAGCTGCCGTCAGATAAGTGGCCTGTGGAGGTTGGGAACAGACCTCGGAGGTGTACTGGTGTTGCCCTGAGTGTTGCGGCTGGATTGCTGGGTGCGTGCTTACCTGGTACCGGGGCAAGAATTATAGCTTTGGTAGGAGGACCATGCACGGAGGGCCCTGGAATGGTATGAACATCAATTCCATAATTTATATCCTCTACTTACCTTTGATATTCAATCAATCCTAAATCAGCAAGGAAGCATCTCTTCTTCTATGTTACATTGAAAATTTTGACACAGCGCCCATGAATTGTTTTAGGTTTTGGTAGGCATGGAATGAGTTTAATTGAATGGCTTGCAATATTGGTTCATGGCTTTGTAAGATTTTGTAGGATCTACACAATGTGGTCCACTGGAATCGAGAAACCATTTTATGTATATGCTTATTTGGGAATTATAGCTTTAGTCTTTTAAATATTGGTTACTCAACTTCCATTTTCTTGAGTTTTTACCTTCCTAAAGCTGTCTTTTTTTTGTTTTTTTTAAGAAGCAAGCAATTACATTAATAAGAAAAAGCAAACAAACAACCTATAAACTAGATTCCTCCTTTAACAAGTTAAAAAAGGAAGAAGAAACCTTATTCAGACTAAAATCTTCCCAAATAAAAGAACTAAAAAGAACAAAGTTAGCACATAAATTCGCTAACTTATTGCTATTTCTACCATGGTTTAAAATTGCATATGAGGATCGCCTTGAGGTCCGCCTTTGCGTAATTCCAGTAAAAAAAGCCTCGATACTTACGCCTCAAGTTTTTTTTTTATGAGGCTTGCGCCTCAACTTGGTTGAGGCCCGCCTCACCTCACTGGCATGAGGCTTACACCTCATGCTATATATATTAAAACTTACATAAATCTTGAAGTAGATGCTCGACATTGGACTCTATAGGAGAGGAGGAAGGGGAGAGAGCAGTTCACCTTAATCATGATTCAAATGAAGAACCCCTTAGTGATGACAGTGCTGATGACTTATGAGTTCTTATGTGATATGTCATTGCTATTTATTTTTGGAAATTGGAATTATATGTTAATGAAAAGAATACTGGGATTTGGGAAAGATAGAATTTTGAGTTGAACTATATTTCATGTTGTCTTATTATTGAGATATTTTAATTTCACTTCATATCTTATATTTTTTTTATGTTTTATATTATTCACTCATTAGTATATAAAAAATTTATCATTTTATGTTTACGCAATCTTTTGATTTTGAGGCTTACGCCTCAAAACGTAGGCTTACGCCTCGCCTCATGAATGAAAAACGCCTCAATACCTGAATACGCAATTTTAAACATTGATTCCTACCTATACAATTGAAAATGAGTTGATTAAAATCTTTGATAAAAGCTAGATCTTCCACCTCCTGGACACCATTATTCAAAGCCCCTTTAAGATAACTAATAATGTTGTAATTGTCGCCTTCAATGATAATTCCTTTGTATTTTAACATCCAATCTTTTATGACATCCTTCAAAGAATGAATAGCTAAAAGCTCCAATTGTGAAGTATCCCAATGAATACATGACTTCCCAAATGCCAACAAAAACATTTCTTTGCAATCACGAAAAACCCCACCAATTCTAGCTTTATATGAAGAACATACCAAAGCATCAGCATTAACTTTTAACCAATCGGGAGGAGGAGGATGCTAAAGATTAGACAATCTAATCGACTGGTTAGCATCCCAGTTGCTCGAGCTGAAGCTACAAGCTTTTAAACCAAAGAGAAGCTAACAACATTGGCAGCAATCACAACCGAGCTCTCTTCCGTTCCTTCATGAATGAATTTATTTCTAGCTTTCTCAGAGAGAAATACAGCATTGCAATAAAGATTAACAAGCAAACTATTATGCAAGGCAGTGAATTACAACCACTTATAGCAATCTTCGAACTTATTGAACAATGGGATTCCAAAACCCCATTTGTTTAAGTTTTGAAGAACTTCTTTCAATTTGCTGCATTTGATTGCAACATGTTCTACATCTTCATCTCATCATAGCATCTAGGACAAGTAACGATATTTACCAATCTCCTGTAAGCTAAAAACTGTCTTTTTTAGTTGGTTATGTTTAAACTTTGTAGACATATCGGAAAGTATTGGTAATCCCAGAGAAGGTGATATTAATGAGTAGAAAATTTCACATCTTCTATGTTGATAATGTATATGAACACGTTAACCTGGCATTAAAGTAGCAACTGAGCTTCATAAGGTGATTCAAACAACCTACTTGGAAGCTTAGTTTTAAGGTTGGTTGGATCAAGTCTTTTAAAGGTACATCTTTAATAAGCTACATTTCGTGAGAAATTGTGTTTCATAGGAGTTGCATATGAAATAATTTTAAATATTACGGGCATGCTATTTAGAGGATTCTTAAATGTGTTTGATGAATATCACTACTGAGAGTTATGACTAAAAGCCTCTTCATGTTATTTTAAACTTGATGGTGGTCAATGGTTACATGGAAGTCAATGGTTTCTATAAAGTTATGGTAGTTACTAAATCGTCTATTTTACTTTAGCTTTTTTAAGTCAGATGAACTATTACTGCACTTTTGGGATTTTTAATCACTATTCAAAAAAATGGTAACCAGCTTATTTTTATGGTACCTGATTGGTTAGAGGGCACAAAACACTGATTTTTTATGCACTAAAAGTGTTATATATAAAGTGGATTATGAGATTAGAATTTGGTGCGTTTGGTACATAAATGTTGAGATGGAGTTCAGGGATGTGTTGCATATAAATTTGTACTGAAATATAGTAAGACTGATTGTATTTAATAACTCATCATTTCATTTTGCAATAATCAATATAAATGGGTAGCATTTTTGCACAAAATCAAATCTTTTTTGATTGATACAACTAGTTGTATTCTTGTTGCATTGTGAGAGATCTTTTAATATTGAGTCCTATATTTATTTGTAGGATCATATTTATTTTTTTATTTTATTATCATTTTTAAATTTAAAATAGTTAATTATTATTTTGGACATGTTTGTCATTATTTAAACCTCAATAAGTCTTTAATATCATAGTAAATTATAGATACTATGTGTAATTGATGATGATCTGTCATGAAATTAAGATATGACCTTTCTTTAGATTATCCTTGAGGATAATGTTTCTCTTTTTCTTTTAGCCATGATGTTTTTTCCATCTATATCTTTTCCATTGCATCCCTCTTGAAGTGTTCATTTATCTTGCTTGTTATTCTACATTCCCAATTATTCCTTTGCATTGGATTCTTTGCTGCGTTTAATCAGTTTGTTAAAAGTTGAAGTTCTTGAAATTAAGGCTATATTTAGAAAGTAATTTTGCATATTGATTTTGATGTTTTAAGAAATCGTGGAACACCAACTTGTCTTCAAGTCAATTTTTTTAATCTCTCACTCATGTCCTCCACAAAAATTCTCAAAAACTCACCCACATTTTGTCCTCATCACACCAATGTGGGTGGTGCAATCTGCACCTTTAGGACCTCTTTTTTAAAATTGTTATTATACTATTTGTAATATATATATATATAGCATTCAAAGCTTTCTTCCTCACCTTCCATAGTTACCACCTTATTTCATCGTCTCTTTGGCCGCCTGCCTTCATTTCCTTTAGAAAATTTTAAAATGTTTAATATGAAAAAAAAATTAAATTTCAATTTCAATTTAAAATTCTAATTGAATTTGAAGATTTGTTCCAAGCTATCCTAGCCTCCCCATTTCTTAGGCAATCATTCTATTCCTGTTCTCCACAATTCCCTCAACCTCTTAGTATCCTTTACAATTTCTACACCAAAAAATACAAACTTATCATTCAATTGTATTTTGAATACAAATATGAAATTCACTTTTGAATTTCAAAAGCTCAAATTAAAAATTTGGATTCAAACTTTCATTGTAATCTTTCAATTTTCCCTCCATGATTCATTTTCCAAATAACTTGACCAATCAAACCTAGTTTGCTTCTCCAAAACTAATATACTTCACCCTTTTCTAAAACCTAGGCTTGACCACTCAAACCTAATCATCCTAGTTGAATTTTTCCCGACTAAATTGTCTTAACCCAACCCATTCTAGTTAGATTTTACCCAACCAAAATTACTTTACTTTGCCCAACCATAAGCTCAAATTAAAGAAAGGCAAAGTCAACTTCAATTAACCAATATTTTTGTAAAATCCGATCAATGTACATGAAGAATTCTAAGTTGTAAAGATATATTTTTAAGGCTGTTATAATGTTCTTGAGGTTGTATGACGAGGGTCTTATATTAATATTGCTAATGATAGTATTGTTATTCCCTTTTACTGTAGAATGGATTTTCTATTCATGATGCTACCTCATGAGAGTTTCGTATTCATCATTATTCTTTGTGATTGATTTTATTAGTTGAATATTGTAGTTGAGGAATTCTTGTTTTTCCATCAAAAACATTTCAACTGTGCACCAACAACATAGGGGAATTTGCATCATGCAATATGCCTTGTTTCCATGATTGAATTTTTTCTATATTAGCATAGTAATGGTTAATTATTTTATGTTATTTGTTAAGTGTAAAATAGTCATTTATCATTTTGGATATGACTGACATTATTTAGATTTTAGCAATATTAGATTGTCAAAAAAAAAAAAAGAAAAAAAGCTGTTATTATATAGATTGGGCTTAGGTTATCAATGAAGACTCTTGATGGAATAGATATATGACTTTTCATCTCAAGAGATGATTTCTCAATCTTTCTCGTAGTCATTATCTTATTTATTTCTCTCTTTTTATCTGTGTCCCCCTTCATGAGATATTCATTACTTATTAAAAAATCTCTTTCATAACTTTTTCGCCTTTGTTCTTCCAAACTTTTGATTCTTTATCATGCCCAATATAGCTGATATGTTTAAATTATTTATGATTCATATGAAGTTGTACATAATGATTACCTATATTTTCATTATATTGGATTTCAACATGAAAGTCTTTGGGTACTTCAATGTTAGTGCATTTACCTACATATAGCACTATATTGACTGCCTTTCGTTCCTTGATGGTGGCAAATATGCTCATTAGCTGCAGATATTTAAATCATTGTGTCATGCCAAGTCTTTCCTTCCATTAGATGTTTTTAGCGATATGCCTATGACACTCTAT